AAGTGGGATATATTGCTAGGATGCAAGGGCGGTTCAATATTCACCAATTAATCAACATGATACATTATATCAAAAAGAGAAAGGGAAACAAAAGAGAAAGGATTAAAAACTGTATCATTATTTCTACAGATGCAGGAAAAGCTTCTGACAAAGTCCAACATTCATGATAAAACACCCTCAACAAAGTGGAGAGGGAATATACCTCAACATAATAAAGACCATATATAAAAACCCACAGCAAACATCATATTCAATGGGAAAAAACTGAGAGCTTTTCCCCCTAAGGTCAGGAACAAGGCAAGGATGCCCACTCTCACCACTTTTATTTGACACAGTACTGGAAATCCTAGCCACAACAATCGGACAAGAAATAAAAGACATCCAAATTGTAAGGAAGAAGTAAAACTTTCATTATTTGCAGATGACATGATACTATATACAGAAAACTCTAAAGACTCCACCAAAAAACTACTAGAACTGATAAATGAATTTAATAAAGTTGCAGGATACAAAAATCAATGTACAGAAATCGGTTTCATTTCTATACAGTAATAATGAAGTAGCAGAAATAGAAATTAAGAGATCACCTTTACAATTGCACCAAAAATAATAAAATATGTAGGAATAAACTTAATCAAAAAGGGGAAAGACCTGTACTCTGGAAACTATAAAACACTGATGAAAGAATTGAAGATGACACAAAGAAAGGGAAAGACATTCCATGCTCATGGATTGGACGAACAAATATTATTAAAATGTGTACACCATCCAAAACAATGAAAAAATACCAATAGCAGGGCACCTGGGTGGCACGCAGTCAGTTAAGTGTTGGACTCTTGGTTTTGGCTCAGGTCATAATCTCAAGGTCAAAGGATCAAGGCACATATTGGGCTCCTCATTCAGCACAAAGTCTGCTTGAGATTCTCTCCCCCTTTCCCTCTGCCCACCTCCTGCTCATGCTTTTCTCGTTCTTAAATAAATTTATCTTAAAAAAAAAAAAAAAAATTTTTTTTTTTTTTTTTTTACAGAACTAGAACAAATAATTTTAAAATTTGTGTGAAACCATAATACCCAAACAAAATACCCAAAGCAATCTTGAAGTAAAAACAAAACTGGAGGTATCATAGTTCCAGATTTCAAGTTACACTACGAAGTTGTAGTGATAAAAACAATAATGGTACTGGCCAAAAAATACACATGGAGATCAATAAAATAAAGAGCCCAGAAATAAGCCCATAAATATGTAGTCATTAATCTTTAACAAAAGAGGAAAGACTGTTTCACCATACACAAAAGTGAACTTAAAATGGATTAAAGACCTAGATGTGAGACATGAAACCATAAAAAGCCAAGCAGAGGGCATAGGCAGAAAGTTCTCTGACAAAAGCAGTAGCAATATTTTTCCAGATAGGTCTCCTTAGGCAAGGGAAATAAAAGCAAAAATAAACCACTGGGTCTACATCAAAATACAAACTTTCTGCACAGCAAAGGAAACAATCAACACAACTAAAAGGTAACTTGCAGACTGGGATAAGATATGTGCAAATGACATATCTGATAAAGGGTTAGAATCCAAAATACATAAAGAACTGATACAACTCAACACTCAAAGAAAAAAAAAATCCAACTAAAAAATGGGCTGAAGACATGAACAGACACTCTCCAAAAAAGATCCAGATAGCCAACACACCCCTGGCAAAGATGCTCAATTGCACTCATCATGAGGGAAATGCAAATCAAAACCACAATGAGCTATCACCTCACACCTGTCACAATGGCTAAAATCAAAACACAAGAAATAACAAGTGCTGGCCAGGATGTGGAGAAAAAGTAACGGTCGTGCACTGTTGCTGGGAATGCAAACTGGTACAACCACTCTGGAAACAGCATGGAGGTTCCTCAAAAAAGTTAAAAATGGAACTATCCTATGATCCAGTAACCATACTATTGGATATTTACCCCCAAATACAGAAACACTAACTTAAAGAGACAGATGCATCCCTATGTTTACCGCAGCACTATCTGCAATAGCTAAATTAAGGAAGCAGCCAAAGTGTCCATCAACGGACGAATGGGTAAAGAACAAGTGGCATATATATACCATGTAATGTTATTCAGCCATAAGAAGAATGAGATCTTGCCATTTGCAATGACATGGATGGAGCTAGAGGGTATAATGCTAAGAGAAAATAAGTCAGTCAGGGAAAGGCAAATACCATATGATTTCATTCATATGTGGAAGTTAAGAAACACAACAAACAAGCAAAGGGAAAAAAAGAGAGAGAGAGAGAGAGACATATCAAAAAACAGACTCTTAAATACAGAGAACAAACCGATGGTTACTAGATGAAATAGGTGAAGGGGTTTAAGAGGGCACTTATCATTAATACTGAGTGATGTACAGAACTGTTCAATCACTATCCCGTACAACTGAAACTAGTATAACATGTGTATTAACTATACTGGAATTAAAATAAAAAACTTAAAGTATTTATAGGGTTACATTAAAAAAAATAAGGCAATATCCTAAGACAACTACACCAAACTGGCCAGAAAAAGCATGTGATTACATAGAAACTACAAAAACTCCTACCTCTACCACAAAGCTGGCTAAGGCAATCCCTCAGAGAAAATCTTTTAAAAAGTAAAACACATTTTTGTTGAAGATTTACTTCTGTAAGCTGGTCAAATCAGATTTTCTCTGCCTTTCAAGTCAACATTCTGCAAAAATTTTTAAAGCCTGTGGTGTATGAAGCAGAAAGGGCCAGGATTCCAGTCAGGAGCCCTTGGTTTGAATCTCTGTTTTGCTGCTTAGCAGCTGTGTGTTCTAAGTTGCCCCTCTGAAGCCTTTAAGTGTGGCTAACAACTGACCCGTTGTGTGAATGAAAATGTATACACTGGAAAAATACAGGGAAAACCCTAATGAAATGTATATACACAAAACCTGAGCAAATTGGTCAGAGCACACACATCAAGAAAATATCCATTCCTTCCCTGTGATCACCGCCCCTCTGGCTAACACATGGTCCCCCAATACAGAACCTCTGTAATAGGGAGCTACACTCAACTTGTATCAAATTAAAATCAAATTCCTGCCTCCAAGTAAGAACCTTTCTGAAATTTCAGATAAATCCTGACCAAAAAATGGTGAGATGGTGGGCACCTTAAAAATTCAGTAAACTCAAGGGCACCTGGGTAGCTCAGTCAGTTAAGTGTCCGATTCTTAATTTTGGCTCAGGTCATGAATGGAGATGGAGCCCTGCGTTGGGCTGCATGCTCCGTGGGGAATCTCCTTGAGATTCTTGGGTTCCATTTCAACCCGATGATTCTATTACCTGGCTTCAACAGGAACCTGAAAAACAGCTTTATGTCCTCCAAGTATAGCACGAAAGCCTAAGATTTACTCAACACACACAAAGACTTTTAATTTTTAAATTATACAGCCAGTTTATATTTATGGCAAATGCTTTTTGGAGAAACATTATGCTTGTTTTTCTGGCAGTTAGAGGTCGATAAACGATGAAAGCCTCCCATAAATCAAGGAGGAATAAATCTATTGTTTTTACCTACATCTATAAACACCAAATTAAAATTGTTGATTAGAAATACCAGAGGTTATAATTTAGTTTGGCAAAACATCAAATTATAAATGATATTAAACAAGTTCCCTATATTGGACTTGAACTTAAAATCAGAGTTTTGAAATTGACAATGGCATTAGTTCAGACACCATAGCGGGGTATTACTGTTCCCCCCCAAAAGTTAGAGAAGCCAAAACATCTCTAAACTGATGTAGCTCAGGTTTATCCAGTGTTTCCTAGCTTATTTCCTAAAAGGACCTAGCAGTTGCCTAACACACCCTAAAAACACTTCTAAAATAGCTCTTCAACCCTTCACTCCACCTTGCCTGCTTCTTTCCTCTCAGACACGAGCCTTCCGCAGAGAACGCAGAGGTGTCACATCTGCCTTCCCACCCGGCACCCAACTCCATTCCTGGCGCAGAGGACAGAAGCCCAAGGAAACCCCATGTGGGGCCAGAAGGACATGTTAAGTTTCTACTGCAAAATCAGTGCTAAGGACAAGAACAAAAAGCCCAAGAATGACCTGACCAACATTTTTGAAACTCAGAAAACTAGTTTCTTCATGCTGTTGACAAAAATATAGGTATGTTTAAAAAAAAATTCATCTTTAAACTGCATGTGAACTTTTTGCCTAAACGGAACTATACCGAGTCTCCGCCTCCCCGCTACACACACACATCCTCCTCCCCACTACACACACACATCAAATATGCGACAGGTGCTACAGACAACAGACGGCTTTTTTGCTGTACATGCATAAAAGAGGTTTATTTTAACGTTTCAGGAATCAATAGGTTAGGGCTGCACGAGACCTCAGACTTCTTCTAGGCCAACCCTTTCCCCTCTGGGTATCAAAGAGTATTTGACCAAATTCACATTAGCTGATCAGAGGCAGAATCCCAACCCCCCTGTTGACAGGACAGGGCTCCACTTCCCAGAGCAGCTTCCTCCAGAAGAGACCAGGAGTTATTTTTATGTCGATCCTGTTTACCAGCTCTCCCCAGCCCTGCCACTTCTTGAATGTGGCCCAACACATTGTAAAGTTCCTAAACAAACCTTTCTCTCCCTCTTTTTTACCCTAAGTGTAAAATATAAGCAGATATTTAACTTCAAATAACTAATTACACCACAATATTAAAGTAACTTGTTCTTTCACCTTATTAAAAGGAACGTTGGTATGCAATACAAAATTCTGTATTTTGATTCTTTTCCCCATAGGCAGTTTTCCTATATTGTAAGCAATTAACACTCTAAAGTGTGCAACTTACAAGACAAAGAAATACCGAATAGTAGATTAACACCCGAAAGCAAATTTGCACAGCTAGGTCTGCAATATTATTGACTAATGTGTTAATCAATTGCTAATACATCTCTCAGCTCCCTCCACCATTCCCCGAAGGGAGCAAAAATCTCACTTACCAAGAAAAGAGAACCATATTCAAAGGTCTCATTCAAAATTTCCTTCTTTAGCTCTTGTTTTTCCGTAGGTGTCCCATTTTCTTTTTCACCCTTCTTTTCAGGGCTAATCCTATCCATGCTGGAAGCATATGTTATTTCCAAACACTCTGTGCTTTCCATTTTAACAGGGAGTAGGTCTCTGATCTTCTGGAAGAAGGTCGCCACGGACCCAGTCTCACATGCTGAATTAGAACTTGCTTTGTCAAGGTCTTCCTGATTCGATTTCATGGCAGATGTTGTTCTTGGAACCCTGTGTGAAGCATTTTTAGAATGAGTTGTAACATGCACAGCCTGGCTAGTAATGAGTTTATTAAATTGCTGCTTATGCGTCTTGTTAATTAGGATTTCTGCTTTTGTATCTACATTCAAGTCAGACCTTGGTGCTTTGTTCAAAGCTGTCGGCTGTCTTGAGGAAGACCCTGATGAGGCAGGTGATGAGGCACTGGTTAAGGGAGGTCTGAGCGTGACCTTTGATAAAGCAGGGTCTTTGGATGGCAACACCGGTCTAGACACAACTTTTGCTTTGACATTCTTGAAGTTTGGTCTTGGGTAACTTATAATTTCGGTTTTTCTAACTTTGCTGCCGATAGGGGTGTTCATTTTAGTTGTCAATTTTCCTAAATTAGGTTTAGACATGTTCATAGGTGCCCCCTTCAAGTTTGGTAAATTTCTAAGCTCTCGAGGACTCTTCTCCACTTTACTACATTTCTTGGTTGCTTCAGTAGGCGAAATAGAAAAGGTTGCATTTGGAGAATCTAGGACTGGCGTTGACATGCAAACTGGGTTATTTGTGCTAATGACCATATCATTTGCATCCTGACTCAGTTCAACTGATGAAGCCATCTTTTGTCCTGGTGGGCTACTCAGTATCAATTCAATGGTACGATTTTGGGTTTCTAAATCCTTTTCATTAGAGGCATTTTGTGGGTCTTCAGCCACAGTGACTTCGTGCTCTGGGTTCAGCACTTGGGCTTCGTTTTTATCAAAAGCTGGCACCAGTGATGGGCATTCATCATCTATAAGACAATTGGACACTTTTTCTCTTAGATTTTGGCTCATTTCCTTTTGCCCATATGAGCTCTGTGAATGTGTCTCACTATTTTGTTCATCTTTAGATAAACAAAAGAATTCTTGTAATACAGACTCATTGGGAACGTCCATGCCTTCAGAAACTGGTGTTTGAGCTTGTACCACTTTTTCTGCAACTAGTCTTTGCTGTGACCCATCTGTGTAGTCACTGGTGACCCGTCCTGAAGAATATGGACACTGAATGCCAGTATCTGGAACAACAGTATCAGTTTGCATCACATCAGAAAATGCTGTGTAAGTTGTGTCTTGAGCCTCTGCTGCAGTGGCTTGTTGGTTTTCAAAGCTCTCTCCATAATTTGTTTCTCTCATGTGCATGTTAGCAGAATGGGAAGATGTATGAATGGAACAGGACAAAGATGGGTTTCCACTCCCCATGCCAGTTGGCTGCAGATTTCCAGAGGTATGCAAAGACAGGCTCTTTTCAATGGCATGCTGTGCTATAAAGGTGCAGTTAACATGATCCACGGTCATGTCAAATGTTTGGTTTAGCTCCAAAGCAGTAGGAGAGTCCTCATAGTACAAATCACCATTGCTGGGTTTCCACACAAAAGGCAGAGATGTCTCAGCATTCTGGTCCTGGAATGATTCTAGGGAATGACAACTGTTGCGCAGATATTTGGGCTCCTCTGTATTTACAACGTGTGCACAAGACTGAAGTGTAGAGTCTTCATGGATATCAAACACCTCCTTACCAATCAACTGACTTGAAGACTTTGGTTGATCAAGTACTTCCACACACTGAGGGGTTAAAGCAAGACTTTCATCAATGTCCACAGCAGAGCTGGTTTCATAATCAACCACCATGTCATCTGGCTTGGCAGGATTCCAATTTACCTTATTGGTTGACGAGTTCTGTATGTGTGATTTTTGGTTGTATGCATATGTGTTTTCATTTTTATCACTGATAAGTAAGGATTGAAGTTCATCTTCTGTCTTCTCATCTGAATTATCATCATTCATCCTGAATATTAACTTTAAACCTCTGCCATTTTATTTCTTCTCGAAATCCTTTCAAATGAGAGGAAAGGAAAAACTGTCCATATCCAAAGTTTTAGCACAGTTGAAAGTTTCTAAAATGCTTTGAAGTTGTAATGATTTCTTGTTCCCTGGAAGAAATAAAATGATCAATTCAAGTAAGTATTATTAAAATTAGTAAGTCACTGCTTGATTAATTTCAATCACTTTATTTTTACATTTAGAACATACACCCGTGGGTAGGAGTAAAGATATCCTTAGCTCAAGTATCATCTCCTTTCAAAGATGCTTTTTTATTTGAGGGAATGGGGCAGAAGCCAGAGACAGTGCTAAAACTGCCCGTGTGACTGACTTCACTTCTGAGATACCTCCTCCATATTCCCATTGACTCTTATTTGTCATACAAGGGAAGGAAGCTCAATCTAACAATAGCCTTTCCTTCTTATTGATTAGCCACTGGTGCTAATTTGCTGAGGACAATTCCAATTTATGCCTGTTGTTCCAACATAATTAGTAACAATGTCTTTTCATTTTCAGAAGGGTCCTGACCTGTCAACCACAACAAATGAGCTGATGATCAATGAAGACTTAGGGAAAAGAGAAATGCCAACACCCTGTTTTTATTCCCTTTCTTAAACATCTCAAAGTTAGGGGGGAAAAAAAAGTTGATTCCCTAAAAATGTTAAACTGCATGACACCGATTTCTACTCTTAAATACCTACTAAAGAGAAATGAAAACATATGCCCACACAAACACTTGTATAAAAGTATGGGATTAATAGAAGTGTAGTTATAATAACCAAGTAGAAGTTAATGTCAATTAGCAGGTAAATAATAAAATGTTATATACCCATACAATGGCATAAACAATCCCCAAAAGAAAAAGATGGAATACTGTTACATCTATAACATGGATAAAGTGTTAGAACTTAAAAATATTACACTAGGGGCCGCCTGGGTGGCTCAGTGGGTTAAAGCCTCTGCCTTTGGCTCTGGTCATGATCTCGGGGTCCTGGGATAGAGCCCCACATTAGGTTCTCTGCTCCTCGGGGAGCTTCCCCCTCTCTCTTTGCCTGCCTCTCTGCCTCGTTGTGATCTCTGTCTGTCAAATAAATAAATAAAATCTTTTAAAAAAATATTACACTAAGTGAAAAAAGCCAGACATAGAAGACTATCTATTATGTATTATATTTATATGAAATGTCCAGAATAGGCAAATCTAGAAAGACAAAGTAGATTAGTGGTTCTCTAGAGCTGAGAAAGGATAAGAGGGAAGGGAATGAGCAGTAATGGCTAATTAGGATGTTTCTTTTAAAAGTCATGAAGGTGTTCTAAAGATCATGGTGATGGTTGCATAGTACTGTAAGTATACTACTGAAAACTACTGAATTGTACACTTAAAAAAAAATCATTGAAAACAACCCATGAAAACTTTCAAATCTGAGGATTTTTGCAAATAACGAAGTTGATTATGCTTTTGGTCAAATTGAAGTGCTTAAAAAGGGCCCAATACTCAAGAGAGGATGGTAAATAAGTCATAGAAATATATGGTCACTTGGATTGAATTTCTAATCCTGGTATTAAATGTCAATCAGAGGACACTGTTCTGCCTAAAGAAATAAAACATACAAGCAGCAGCTCTTTCTGCCCATGGTCCTGTCCCTGTGCTTTAATGAACCACCATTTTGCACCCCAAAAAGAAAAAAAAAAAAATAGAAAGAGATAAAACATACATGAGGAGGGAAAATGGCACCCTATAACCTCTAAGTTTGTGACTAAAGAAATATCTTTTTTCCATTTTGTAATCCTTTCTCTGTAATCAAACTTCGGTGACCTAAATACAACCAGCGGAGTAGAAACCAGGGAAGAACTGAGAGGATCTGTATCTTCACGAACAGTGCTCTATGTGTTTCTGGCCACGCATCCTGAAACCAGCCTTCACTGCAGGAAGAAAGAAAGGCTGCAATGTTCAGCTCGACAGCATGCATGTGTGCTATCAACACACACACACACATACACACACACACACACACACACACTCAAAAGGAGACTGAATCCTAAAACAAAGGCTGTATGATTTATATACTGATGGGAAGTATCAATTACTTACATAGTTTTGGGTTTGTTTGTTTTTTTTTAAAGGTTTTATTTGACAGAGAGGTGGGGGAGCCTGACTGGGGCTTAATCCCAGGACTTTGGGATCAGGACCTGAGCCAAAGGCAGATGCTTAACCAACTGAACCACCCAAGCACCCCTTCCACCATAGTTCTTAAGTCAATAAATCACTGAAGTAATAGTTGTGTGGCTACCACCTTAATAGAAGTTTTACGAAGACACTATTTTTTTTTTTAATCCTGGGGTGTAAAATATGTTCAAACTAAATATTTAAATCAAGAAGTACATTTATTCAGTTTTTTAGACTTATGTGTGTCGAATATAATTTCAAAAAGCAGTAAACATGTTATACCTTGTCTGTTTTCATGAAAGTCAATATTCATTTAAGAGATTCTGGTATTAAAAAAATATGAGCACTGTAAACAGAAGCTTTTAATGGAAATCATAGAAGTCATTTGTCTACATAAACACAGTCATTAGATTCAATTAAGGAGTTTTACTACCTGAGCTCCTTCTTCCAAAGTACATAAAAAATTATTTAAAAAAAAAAACTCTGATAAAAATGGAATAAATGGTTTGTATGTTAAGGAATTTCAAATTATTTTTAAAATAAATGAATAAAATCTTTAAAATAAATAAAATGAATAGAATACAAATGTTTAATGGGATACAGACATTCTATATTTAGGTGGTTGTTTTTTTTTTATAGTTTTTCTCTTTCATAAATAACACTCAACATTTTTGCAATCTTGAACTACCTATGATTATTTCCTTTGGAAAAACTTCCTAGAAATATAAGCATTACCAAGCCAAACGAATGATATTTTTTTAGGCTCTTGATCTAGTTTGCTAAATTGTTAGGTAAAAGGAGAGGGGGAGGAACATACATATATATTTTTTCATAATAAATACTTATTTATTATGCATAATAAATATATGACCTGAGTTTTACTTTAAAAGTTCATGTATTTTATTTTATTCAGCATTTTCCCCCAAGTATTTTTCCAAGTCATTATAGTATGAAAACATTTCTAATGGTTGTGAAACTCCAAAGCTTAAAATGTTTTAGATTTATAAGTCAGTAATTATGATGAGTAATGAAAATGTAAAGAACTGATTAACTATTCCAACTTTCACATGACTGTTTAGTATACGTGGGTTTATGATTTTTTTTTAAAGATTTATTTATTTGATAGCGAGAGAGATCACAAGTACGCAGAGAGGCAGGCAGAGAGAGAAGGGGAAGCAGGCTCCCAGCTGAGCAGAGAGCCCAATGTGGGGCTCTATCCCAGGACCCTGAGATCATGACCAGAGCCAAAGGCAGAGACTTAGCCCACTGAGCCACCCAGGTGCCCAGGTTTATGATTTTTTTAATTCACAAAAACCAACCAAACCAGGTGAGAAAAGCTATCCAAAAAAAAAAAATTCTCTCCCCCCAAATGCATTGAGAAGAATACTTCAGGACAGTTTTCATAGGAAATAAATTTACAGAAGTGTTTTCTACGTTAGTAGCTAAGAGTAAAGAATTTGTGGTACAAAGACTGGATACTAAAAACAAGATTATCAGCTCCAGAAATAGTTGGAAGATCAACATTCACTCAAGAAAACAACAGTTTCAAGATATCTTTATGAAGATAAAGCTATGGTCAGGAAAAGGTTGACCAGGATTCCCTCAGGAATTTTGTCAACAAAGTTTAAAGTCAGCCATTTTGTCTGATGGCCAATTTCATTCCTTTCCCACTTAAAGAATAGTTCCTCAGTTTCTACTACATGCTGGACTCATTCTTTGATAAGTTCACCTGACCCACGAAGTAATGTCTTTGTATTTCTATAATTGCAATGTCATTTGTGACACCTTCAAAGTTACTATTTAGGCAATGCTTTTTTATTAAAGCCAATCAAAGGTTAAAAAAAAATAAAGGCAAAAAGGTTGGGATAAATTATTGTCACCTGAACAGTTAACTTCTCAACTTGTCTTTCAGCAGCATTATCTACCAGAACAAAGTAGAACGATCAAGTTTCCTTTTTAAGAATGCTATCTGGGAAAATAAAGAGATCTTTTTCAGAGAAAATTTTGGATGAGAGACAAATTCCCTGCTTACTAAGATTTGAGAATATGATAGAATAGCTCCTCTTGAATAGAAAGGTTACCAAAATTATACATTTTTATAGTGATTTGTAAGGTTAAAAATTAATCTGTACCAAAAGAAATGGCCATTGAAAAGAACTGGTAGTTTAAGATTTGAGCTATTTCAACAATCTTGAAAAATTAGATTACTTTCCAAATCTTAGCTTAAGAAGAATGATTGTTTATTCTCCAAAGGTTGAAATTCCACCAGTTATTACACTGAACAGATATACCTAAAAAGATAAATTATATATAAATTAAGTTCTTAGGATATAACTGAATTCACTGTCATTATATTAATACTAGAAAATATTTTAAAGATCTAATTCAAACACCCTCATTTTATAAGTGAGAAAACCAACTGTAAGACATTAACTACATTACTTGGCCAAATTGGTCGCTAGAACATTACTACTAGATTATACAATAGTTGTGTGCCTTATTCACCTACTGAACTATAAACTCAGTAGAGGGTTATTTATACATCAGTAGGTGTCTTCTATATCCTCCTTTTACTGTAATGCCCAACCCGGTAATTTGAACTTAGTACAGATAAACTTGCTACCTCATATGGGAATTACAAAATAAAGGTGTCCAGAAGTCACATGTGAAAACAGTTTCAGGACTTTATAGCCATAAAAATCTTGAATTTTACTCCTTATCTGTGTCTACATATGGCAAACCAGTCATAAGATTTGAATACAAACACAGCTATAATTTATGGCTTTCAAATCATAGAATCATATCAGTTCTTCTTAAAGTTCTTATGAAATCAGAAATCATAGCACTAGAGCTCTCTAGGCTTCAAAACCCAGTATACCTGGTCTTGAACTTATTTTAGAACAGAAAAGAAGACAGGTGTACAATATCTGAGCTACCAATTTATTC